GATACCGAATTTAAAGAAACAATTTTTGTGCCGGCCTATTTCGTTTGACTCTTTGATTGCTCCTTTAGAGAGGCAGGCGAATAAGCTCCACTGTTCTTCCGTATGAGCCTGAAAGCGGGTGGCCGTCTATGGTCGATGAGGAGCACGCACAGAAACAAATACCTATAGTGCCATCGCGGCGATGCAACGCCACATCTTATCATCAGTTGGCTATGAACGACGATTATCATCGGCGTTTGACGATCCATAACTGGATGAAGGCCTCTCCAAGATTTTCAGGTCTTGTCACGTCTTGTGATTTGTTTTCGGAAGATTTGGCTGTGACTCGCCAAACTCTCAAGATGGATTGGCGAATGTTGCCTCTTCCGCCTGTCCGGACATATTTCTCAAGCTTGCACAGACGGTTGAACCTGCCAAAGCCGATCGACTCAGCTGTACATCGTCTTTAGAACCTGTTGTCAACCTCTGGCTACCACTGAATTAGTGCAAATAGGACGTAGGAGGGAGCCTAGCATAAATAATAAACCCAACAGGAAACCACCTCGGACCGGCTTTTGTCATCTCCCATGAACGTTTTTTGTCTAAGCCCCGCCCCGTCTTGGTCCGTTCTCTGACCTCAGCCGAACTGCCTCGCCGGGACTTCGTCGCTTCGTGTTTTATGGGAGGGGCAAAGGTTGCAGTTTTGCCCTTTGTCTTTTCTTTTCTTTAGGCAAAAACCAAACGTACGCAAACGATTATTATAATCGTCGGTTAAACACGCGTTAAGCGTTTCACAAACTCCGCATTAAATCAGACGTGGGCGATTCTTCATAAGTGCCTTCAGACTTTAATTCGCGAAGAAGTGACCTCTTGGAGACAAGAATTATCGGAGATCAGTCGTTATATCGACTTTTTGCTGTGTATGCCTCAGCAGAACGAGTTCCGTGCGCGGTTTGCTTTACAAAGTTATTGAATCCCAAACTGTTACCTTAATTCTTGTCATGATTGCTCTGGGACGTCCGCAGGTATTCAGCATGTCATACCTTCAGATCAGGAAGTCGTTATTGGCTGCTGGCCTTCTATCAAAATATCTTTCTTCTAAATAAAGACCTGCCTCCATCCTCTGCGTCATTGCTGCCCTGCTGAGTAGACTAATAGGGATGACTTGTAACAACAGATTGATCCATTATAATGGCATTCTGTGTGATGGATCATTCGACTTTTAAATTCTCAACTCTCTACCTATGCTACTTCTTTTGTTTTGTTTTGTTTGGTAGGCATTAGCAAGTTGAGTACTTGTATTTGGCTTATTGTCGCTTCAGTAAGCTTTGGCACAAAGAATCAAATACGACAAACCGTAGTGTTCATGTTAATGTAGTGTTTATCTAGAGTTCGCCTTGAGGATGGCCAGCGTAGTCTTCTATCTGACTTTCTCGTCTAGTCTACGGACACTCACGTGGCAATATATCGAAAGAGAGGATTCAGAATTGGCCTCAGTTTCAAAACTTACCCGTGTACATTTTTCATACAATTTTCACGGCGCATCGTGGTCTACATCATTCTGAACCTTCACACTTCAAACGTACGCCTTGCAAAGATGAGATGTAATGCTATTGCGCGTGAATATGCCTGTCCACCTCTGCATTTCGATGAAAGTCGTTCATGCAAGATATCCAACATCGTAAATCTGATGATTTGGCTATAAACGCATTTTCGTTCACTCCTTCCGGCAACCTTCTGAACGTTTACTCATTTCGTACTAGCTGCCATTAACGATCAGATAATCTATGCTAGACCGCTCGTACCTCCTCCCAGCGCAAAGGCCACTGCAGCGTCCTTTTGGAACCACGTCAGGTTAGAGATACTGTTGTATAGATTGGAAACGGCGTTGTCCACTATACGATATATTTGATTATGCGAAGGTCACAGAACTTCTTACGCATTGAAGGCAAATACATCGATGCCTCGATCACCATAAATGTTTGTCCTCAGAAACAGCTTGCGACCATAGAGTGTTGGAGGCATCAGTGTTGCGTATGTAGCATGACGTGAAAATCGACGTGCAAGCAAATTTAGAACAACACAAAGGTACTTGCGTAATTGGATGGCAGTGAAAGCGCTTGTGATATGCTTGTATAACGAGGTCGTCGCCGTGAGGTTCCGTTCTGTGGACAACCGGAAGGTCAGACCACCTTGTGGTGGTGGCACGACACCGTTTTTCAGTACTGCCTGCAGATCCGGTGCCGGTTCGTTCGGCCAGGACTTTAATGCATCGTTTTTCGTGCATTCACCGAGCGAACGAACGAACGAACGTCAGCCTTGATGAGAAACACCGAGAAATCGTTCAATAAAATCATTATTTGTTCGTGCTGCGCACAGAGAAGAGGTTTTCGCACAAACTAGTTACTTCGTCGCCGTCAGAATATTCTATGTTTAAAGCGACGACGGGGTTCGTTCAAAAGCAGGCATCGACGAGGTCGTGAAAACCGGTGCATTGTCCTCATTTTAAACTCACCTCTGCCCTCGCCCCCCCCCCATCACCCTGCTTGTTGAATCTGTCGATCGACCAAAGGCCGTAAGCGCAGCGTTGGATGTCCAAATCGACGCTCGACGGTTGTGCCTGGCCGACAGACGTGAGTCCAACGATTCCCACAACCTCATGGGGGATGTTCGACTCCTCCAAGGCCAGACTTCGCAAAGTTATTTGAGTACTTGCAGTACCCGACGCATCTCGGGTAGCAGCAAGAGGGCGGCGCAGTAAGCAGAGTCTGGAGTTCAGATTTTCGAGAAAGCCTTGGTGTATGCAGAGGAAAGGTCGCGACCGGATGGTGGTTTGAGCACTCTTTTGCGCATACTTCCAAAATGATAAGAGAAACAGTTACTACCTGCTGGACCGACCGAGCGGCCGAATTCCCCGGGGAACGCAGAGCATCACCTGAGGCAACTGCCTCTATAGACTCTGCTGCAGAGTCGGCTTATTTCCTGGCGTTGAATCGGGCGGCAATCTAGTGCTTTGCGACCCAACGCCGAAAGCTGCCATCGAAAGAAGCTGACCGACTGCTTATGACGTCGGTGTGCTGCGTCGATGCATCGCTGTAACAGAACTAACAGTATTCGTTATTCTGCACGCTTTCGAGTTGCTGCCGAAAAACAGGGGACCTTAGTCGCCTGCCTTTCATAAAGAACAGTGTTCTTTGAATTAAATCAGCCTTTATCGTTGGTTTTTTTCGTGTTGACATAACTAAGGGTTAATAAATTATAACGCGAATCGAACTATTACCCCCGGCGAGGAGCAGCTTTAAGTTCGTGCGAGGTTTGGCTCTTTAGTCATGTTTTT